AGAAGAACTGATGCATTTGGGTTATGGTGTTGGAGAATATTGAAAGTTCCATGGACTGCTAGAAGAACAAACAAATCTGTGTTGAAAGAAGTATCACTAGAATGCTCCTTAGAAGCCAGGATGGCCTGACTTCATCTCTCATACTTTGGACATATTATCAGGAGGAACCAGTCCCTGGAGAAGGAAAGTGAAGGGTCAGTGAAAAAGAGAAAGACCGCAAACAAGATGGACTGGCACAGAGGAAGCAATGAGCTCGAGCTTGACAATGATTGTGAGGATGGTGCAGGACTGGGCAGTGTTTCATTCTGTTGTGCACAGGGTCTATGAGTTGGAACTGACTGGATGGCACCTAACAATACCACCACCTTTTCCTTTAATTCAGGTGCTGCTGACCCATGAGCCATGTTTCATTTCCACCAAGAAGATAAAGTAATAGTCCAAATTTCCTGATGAAAATGGTGCTCTGCATGTGGAATTAGTCCCTGAGCGTACAGACCCTTCTTAGCAATGCAGGTTAAGGTGGCTATAGAATAAAATTAAGGCCAACTCCCACCCCAGCCCCCAGGCCCTGGTGTGTACTGGACTGTTAACCAAAAGACTGGCAGTCCAAACTCACCAAGCCATTCCATAGGAGAGAGATGAGCCTTTTTACTTCCATAGAAATTTACAGTCTCAGAAATCCTATATAATTCCAACTTTGAGTTGGAATTAACTAGATGGCAGTGTGGTAGGTATTTAGTTTTGGTGGCATGTACTTGACCTAGAGCTGTCCACTGGTGACTCTGACAATGAATTAAGAGTTACTCAGTTATGCAAAGAGTTATGCAAGGTCAGCAGTTCGAATTCACCAGCCGCTCTGTGGGAGAAAGATAAGGTTTTCCATTCTTGTAAAGATTTACATCCTTGGAAACCCTCTACAGGGTGGCCATGAGTTGGAACTGACTTGACAGCATGCAGCAACAGCAACAGCAACACAGTATTATCCTTGTTCTCAGACTTTGTCATTGCTAGAACTTAACCTTATAAGATAAAATGTGATTCTTTCAGATACAAGTATCACAGTTGCAAATCCTGTGAATGAGAAGTTAAATGATGTGAGGATGATTCTATCCACAGAAACAACAATTTTAGGTGTGATCATTTGCCCAGGAAACAGATTTCACATTTATTCTTAGCACTAGGGTAATTAATAGGCATTGTCTGAACTGATTAAAATGCCACTAGTGACTTTACTCTGCAACAGGCCACAAAGTGCTCTGCTTTTATTAATCTCAACATGATCATTAAAATTAATAAAGAGGTTCTTATTCAAAATAAATGCAAGAGGCTCTTCTTACCAGTGAGCGATTTTCTTTCAGCTGAAAGTTTGCTGGCAAATCTTCCCAAAGGTCTAATTTTATATCCAAAGGAATGAAATTACAGTTCATCTGTTTTCCATCCTGATTACAGATTAGGAAGATACCGTTAATCAATTTTTATCTGTAGACACTAGTAATGATTTTTAAAGAAAATAATCATATTATAGGAAATATTATAAATTGAAATAAGCCTCCACAAAATATGTGTTGGAGTCCAAAGGCAGTACAAAACACTAGTACATACTTGAAATTAGCTATAGTGCAACCATTCCCAAATTCACAAATACAAGAGACTCTCCAGGGTGGGATGGGGTCTTTCACAGTGATTGAAAATATCAGTATTGTATTGAAAGAAGGCATGGCATCACCCTTCCCAAATGGTTTGATAAGACTATCCATTTGTTAAAGTGAGAAGGCAAAAAAGAAATTCTAGAGAAATGATTCAAACATTTCCTCCCAGAAAGCAATGTGGATCCATGAGGACCAACTGCCAATAGGACATGAGCTCCTTATCAACTAGAGAGGAACTGGAGTGTGAGCAGGTGCGTTGAGGTCTCAGTAATGAACCGCACAATATTCCAAAGTCTTAAGGGTAAAAAGCACCATGTACAAGAGTGTAGCTGGTTTAAAATGAGTATTTTTTTTTAAAAGAAGAGGAAACAGAACCTCTGCATATGAAACCCTATTGTATCAGCAATAGTTGAGCTCAGATTCTAATTGTCTCAGCACAGACAAAATGTTATATACAGCTCCCATAATCACTTTGGGAGAAACACACAAAAGGTCCTTATTGATTATATTATAATTGATGTGCTAACACTGAGCTACACTTGGGACTGGTTGAAATGACCAGGTTTTTAGTCATATTGCTGTTATGACACAGGATGCTTAATGTCTCCCACCACTCTTCCTTTAAAGGTGTTCTTTCAGATAGTAAACTAGGGGTTTTTTGTTTTTTTCTCCAAATTTTTACTTCTAGATTTTACTTCATTCAGCTCTTCTAAAGACAAAAAAAAAGGAAAGCTTTCATAAACTCTACTGTAGCTGTGAAGACATATTAACATTTCATGTCATTAGTATCTCATGTAGAGAAAATGAACTGAATGATAACATTTTATGGCAGAGACATGTAAGTGTTTAGAACTGTCACAAAAATGCACCTGAGACCATTAGCAGAGCGCTCAAGAAGGTGAGGTGGCCCCGCTAACAGGTTAGGTGGCAGAGCCAGGGACCCCATCATTGGAGTTTGGCTTAGCAGTAGGCACACTTGACCTTCTCCCGGATGTCTGACATGCTCTCTGTCTCCACACAGAAGTCTGGAAACACAGGTAAGGTGATTCAGGAGACAGAGCTTTCATTGTGCAAAGAGCCTAAGGGGTTCTGAAGTCTGACAGTGTGCGTTGCCTGGCTTCTTCATCTTCAAACACCAAGAGGGACCTGCCTCTGAGGAGAACCTCCTCTTGGCGCTCCTCACAGCGTGTCTCACCACTCACAGCGAGAGGCTCCCAGGGTGGGATGGGGTCCAAGCCTCCTGCAGGAACAGTGTTTATGGCCTGGCTTGGTCTCTGGTATTATGCACTCTTGGCTATGGCCCCATGCTAGATGCTGCTTGGGAACTCTGGAATTCAAGGTCCTAGCCATCTCCTTTTAATAATATTATATAGCACACCATCTCTACAACTGTATCTGACTTAGCAGAACACCTATAGCTAAAAGATCGGTCAGTTAGAACACAAGTTATCTTCAAAAGTAGATATTTGATATTGTAGACAAAACCAAGGGAGCCCTGGTGACAATGTGGTCAAAGCACTTAACCACTAACCAAAAGGTCAGAGGTTGAAACCTACTAGTTGCTCTGTGAGGTAAAGATGTGGCAGTCTGCTTCAGTAAAGATTACAGCCTTGCAAACCCTATAGGGGAGTTCTAGTTGGTCCTATAGAGTCGCTATGAGTCGGAATCAACTAGATGATAATGAGTTTTGTTTGTTTGTTTGCTTTAAACCCAACCAGAGTATTTACAGAGTCCTGGTAAGGAGCTCTGGTAGCGTAGTGGTTACGAATCGGGCTGCGAGCCACAAGGTCAGCAGTTCGAAACTACCAGCGGTTCTGCGGGAGAAAGATGAGGTGGTGTGCTCCTGTAAAGAGTTACAGCCTCGGAAATCCTGTGTAGGGTCGCTATGAGTCGGAACTGACTCCATGGCACATAACAACAACAACAACCGGTGTAGCACTGGACTGCTAACCAAGAGGTCGGTAGTTCAAACTCACCAGCTGGTCTTTGGGTTATGTTGTTTTTGTTAAGTGTTGTCAAGTTGGTCCTGTCTCAGTGACTGTTAAGGAGCAGTTGATGAGTTTGAACTGCCAATCTTGTAATTCAAACCGACCTTGCAGCCTAGTGCTTTATCCAACAGTGCCATAGCAAGACTCCTGGGAGCCCTATGCACAGTCACTATGAGTCAAAACTTAACAACGACAACAACAAAGTATTTATAGTGGTGGTGGTAACTGTGTGATGTAGAGTCAGTTCCGACTCATAGTGACCCTATGTAGAGTTTCCGAGGCTGTAAATCTTTTTGGGAGCATAAAGTCTCATCTTTCTCCTCAAGAGCGGCTGGTAGATTTGAACTGCTGACCTTGTGGTTAGCAGCCCACTACACCACCAAAGCTCCTAAAATATACATTCATCAAGTTCTCCTCAAATATTCACACTAGTTTACCTTGGCCAAAGATTCTCATATGATTCCTAAGACCCATTCAGGTGATCCACAAGGTCAAATGGGGGTTTGTAAAAATTGAAAAGATTTATTTGCTTTTTCATTTTTATTCTCACTGGTGTTTAGTGAAGTTTTCCAGAGGCTACATGGTCTGATATCCCAGCAGATTGAATACAAAGGCAGATGTGAAAATTCAGCTGTCTTCTATTAAAGCTTGAAAGACAATTACTAAAAAATGAACAATGCCACTCTTCTCACTAAATATTTTTGTTTAGAAAAATGTCATTCTCTGCTATTTATGAAAACATGTAGAGGTTTTACTGTTGATATGTTGTTGTTATTTTAATAAATGAATTTTTAAAATGTCTATTTTTAATTTCAAATATGGTAAATATCAACAGAGATAGGATACAATGGGGACCCTCAATAATTTTTAAGAGTGAAAGGGGTATGAAGATGAAAAAGTTTGAACATCACTAACCTAGGCTGGGTCAAGAATCTGAGAAATCATGGCCAACGCTTCCTGCAATTCATTCCACGTTTACTAATTATCAAGGAGAAGTTAACTTTTTTCTTGAGAGTTTTATTGTAGCTGGGCCTTGTGCTAAACATTTTTCTTGAAATGGATCAGCTAATATTATCCATGAACAACTCTTCTCCAAAGTTCAGGAAAAGGAGGCACAGAGCAACTAAGTAATGTGTCTGCGATGACATAGTTGGCAAGTCACAGAGATGTGAACTGAGGCAGTCTGACCCTGAAGTCTGTGCTCTATGCCCAGCTGTTCGGGTCTCTCATTGTCTTTAGATTTTATATGTGGATTTGAGAATTAGCTATAATGCCTAGCTCAATGTTAATAAAACTAAATATCTCCAATGAGACACACAAAAAGGAAAACTTTTATGTGTTTCAACTTCTAGAATCTGCATGATGCTTACCTTAGTATAAACATGAATTCGATCCGTATTTTTACTTGCGCAGAACATTAAGATATCATATATCGGCAAAGTCTTCAACTGTTCTAATAAGGAGACAAAATAGAAACTGCAGCCTTATTTATGCTTTTCTGCAGGGTGGGGAAACAAAATAGCTACATCAAAAGAGAAAAATAGAGTTAAAGAATCTGTGTCTGGACTTGAACTAAAACTACCACAGTAGGCCGTCTAGGAGTCCCTGGTGGCTCAAGTAACAGGTGAAATATTGAACCACTAGCTGAAAGGTTGGCAGTAGGAATCGATCCAGACATGCAGTTCATACTGTGAATCTTCCAGTAGGCACTGAAAACTCTGTGGAGCACAATTCTACTAGGGCATATATGGGGCTGCCATGAGTCAGAATTGACGTGGGGGCAAGTTACAGCAACAAAGGCCACCTAGTTGCATATTGGCTTATAAGGTAACCAGTTGCTTTTCATATTGGCTAATGACCTAACATGAAATAGATTCAGAATTAGCTGAAAAGGATACAAGTTAGGCGTAAGGGTGAGTTTCCCACTATCAAGAATTGTTATTAGTTGTTAGTCATCTGAAAGGAATCTAGAATCTATCCCTCTTGCTTGAGTGGAGTTACACTGAAACTGAATGAGCATCATTTTGAGTGTAAGCAGCAGTACAGCTGTTTTTACATCAATCATTTAAATGCCTGGTTCTCTGTAGCTCAGAGTATAACATTTAAAAAGATGAGTGGACAAGCTTCCTTTCTGAGTATCTCTTTTTATTTAACCTCTTTTCCAGTCCCACTGTCCAATATATTCTGCAGGATACTTAAGGTTAGACTCAAACTAGTGTAAGTAATAATTATATTGTTACTAGGTGCTGTTGAGTCAGTTTGGACTCATAGCAACCCCAGATGCAACAGAATGAAACACTTCCTGGTCCTGCACCTTCCTCACAATCTTTCCTACGTTTGAGCCTCGGTGCAGCCACTGTGTCATATAGGTTGTTGCGGGTCTTTCTCCTTTTCACTGATCATCTATCAAGCATGATGTCCTTCTTCAAGGACTAGTATGTCCTAATAACAGGTCCAAATTATGTGAGACAAATGAGTATTATTTCACACTTTAACATTTCTGAAATTGGCATGTCTTAGATTCATCATTTGTACATCCCACATTCTGATTATTTATGAATGTTTCTAGCTGTTTCTTCTTATATATTCTGAGTACTTAAAATGTGCCAAAGGCGGTTCTAAGAACATATATTAGTTTATATTAACTCATTCAGATTTCAAACAACTCTAGAAATAGGTAGTGCATTTTACAGATGAAGAAAATGAAATATATTAATTTAGTCATGGCCATACTCTGAGTAAGAGGATTTAAATCCAGTAATCTGGATCCAGAGCCTGAATTCAACCTCTAGAATAGTTCTTCAGGGACCTCTGAAAGTATTTTCTCAGCTCTAAAACTTATGATTTGCTTGCCATTCTACTTGCAAACGGCGTTGTATTATTATTTTTCTGATCAAGGCACTAGTCGCTTTACAAACTTAGTTTGTGGATTAATGCTACATTTCATTTATTCAAAAATAAATATCATATCACCCTCTTTAACACTTCTGAAATTGCACGTCTTGAAGTCAATAATCATACCATCTTACAATCATTGTTGCCACGTGGAGATTGTGAAGTTGTCATTGTAACTGAGCCTGCATTAGCTTTGTTACAGCTGTTAAACTTGAGGTGGGTGCACTGTTGTTACTATGTATGCTGAGCTTAATTACCTTTGAAATCATGTCAAAATGTTTTCACCATGATTTTGTATTTGAAGAGTTATTATGCATAGCAAAAAACTTGGATGCAAAAGAGAGGGCCATACATTTGATATTAAATAAGCAAACATGTGTCTCATTGGAGGAACAGCCCTAATGTGGTATCTTCTCGCAAAGGAAAAACCAAGTGCTTCATGGGACCTAAGGAAAGAAGATCCCTGTAAATCAGGTAAGCCGTCTTATAACTGATTACCAAGATGTGCAAAAATGATGACTATGACATGCTAAGCAAAGCAAATGAAGGCACGGGATCTTGCCAAATCCCTCAGAAATGATTAAAGAAATGTCAAGGCCACAGAGAGTGGTGTGACCTGGCCTGGACTACTGTTGAGGTATGTGCCATTGTCTAACTAACTAACAGAGTTTTTCTTTGTACTAGTATGTAAATAAGTGCATTTCACAATCAGTGTGTGTCTTTAGATTTGAAGAACCACGGTCAGAGCATTAAAGCTTACAGATCAGCATCGTGAGGTCAATTCCAAATCAGTTGATGTTTGTACTTTGGGAAATAGGTCTCTTTTTGGTATTTCCACGAATTTAATGGTTTGAATCTACTGATGCATCTTGTGAGGATACATCCATCCTTCCAGACTCATAGAATTCAAATTACACCAAAATTACAGTTCCAGAACAGTACACATCACCCTGATGTCCTAAAAGAGAGTATGTGGGAGGAATAAACATTCAAACACCATGTTCCTCCTCGTCTTCTTTCTGTTTGCTTTTCATGAGAAACTATGTGAGTGAGAGATGTGAAGCGTATTTCCTGTATGCAGTTCTCGGGCCACTGGTCTAAGAAATGAAAACAAAGAAGGGGATGCAGTAGGGATGGACGTGTACAGTGCCTGGAGTGGATAGGGCCAAGGCAAAATTTCCTGGCAGAATAGAATTTCTAAAGGTCAAGTGATTTTTGAAAAGTATTTCTAAGTGTGAGCTCATATGTCTTCATCAAGGGACTGATTTATAACTAACAAGCCAATGTTTCTCTGCCACAGATGGAGAGACTCATGGCCCAATCAATGAAAAACTCCAGGTCTTAATTCTCAGTCTGATGTTTACTTCACTGAGTCATGTGCAGTTCTATTAGAAGAGTTTCATAAGACTTGTGATGTTTTTTATGACAGGAATAAGGAAACTAGAAACTCCAAAGAGCATATACCCCAACTGAGTGTACCCTATCTATTGAAAAGGCCATTAAAATGAACTGGGACATAAGCAAGGTCCATTCCAGAATTACCTTTGAGGAGACCTAGAGCAATAAGAGAAATGGAAGGCCGAGGGAAGAATAAACCAGGACGCCTTGAGCTCAGAAATGTTTAAATGAATATTTCATTTTAAAGTTATAAATTTAACTCCAAATTATATCAATGTTTAATAGTCTCACCCTAACAACTGTGCGTTTGCTATAATGAGACTATCAATCTGTGAGTTACTATGGTAACTAAGTAATAAGGGTGGTAGTGATGGGATTATGTGGGTTCCATGGCTGTGGATCTTTACAGGAGCAGAAAGCCTCATCTTTCTCCCATGGAGCAGGTGGTAGATTTGAATTCCTGACCTGTGGTTAGCAGTCGAGTTCAAAATCATTACGCTACCAGGGATCCTTAAATAATAAGGGATGTTTCCCAAAAATACTCACAATTTTATGCCATCTGGCTATAAAATACAGTAATGTATGACATGCAGTCTGGTGTGTGTTAACAAAAATAACTATAAATTATTGTTGTTGTTAAGTGTCGTTGAGTCAGTTTCAACTTATAGCGACCCTGTATAGGGTTTCCATGGAGCGGCTGTTGACTTTAAACTGCTGACCTTGCAGTTCAAACCAACCTTGCAGTTGAGTGCTTATCTTATCAAGACTCCAACTATAAATAATGAATGCAATAAACTAAAAAGTCAGTCAATCCAAAACACTATATGGTTGATTTCAAATGCAGTTAGCATTTATATAGCCTTGAAATTATGTTCCTTAAAAACATTTTCTTTGAAAAAAATTTATACACCAAAATTCAAAACATACTAATTAAACAAAATTCTTATGTAAAGAATTAATGATCTGGTAAGCGTCGGGTACACCACTGTCTGTCAGTTTTTTGTACTGTGGTGCCTTGCATTTTTACTATGACAGTGGAAACTATCTTATTGGTATTTCAGATCTCAGCAGGGGCACCCATGATAGACAGGTTTCAGCAGAGCTTCCAGACTAAGTGAAACGGCTAGTGACCTATTTCCAAAACTCAGCCAATGAAAACCCTACGGATCACAGCAAAACACTGTCTCACTCACTTGATTTGGACTCATTATCAGGGGCTCAATTGCTAGAGGAGGACATTATACTTGATGAAGCAGAGGGCTAAGGAAGGCAAGGGAGACCACTGCAATGATGGACTAGAATACGCTGGTGATTGTAGGATGATGTAACTCCAGGCTCCATTACCATGAGTCAGACTCAACTGCTAATAATCTGTCGAACTTACTATTTTATCCATAAGAACCTCCCAAATATCAAAATAGCACCCAAATATCAAAACAGCACCCTTCCTGTGGGAATGGCAAAAGGCCTCGTTGGCAGCACACGCAGCTATGTATTTATTGTTTCTCTGTGTAGTATTTCTGAATAGCAACAGACATTCAAGCATTTGGTTACAAATAGTTGGTGGTTTTAACATGAAAGAGAAGAAAAGGAAGCAGAATGAAGGTAGTCACCTCAATAATAATGGAAGTACACTGCCGTTATTTGGATGCTGTGGAAACAGAAACAAGACTTATCATTACCTGGCTGGGGTGTGAGTCCACCTTCCTTGTTCTCTGGTAATACTTCGGGTGTTGACTGTGCAAGCACTTCGTTTTCACAGTCAGGTTTAGTGAAAACTTCTTTGGAGATGTCTTTCTGAGAATCATCCTTCCCACTTTTGGTTTTACCCTGGATCTGGATGAGGCTATCTATTTGTGGAATTTAAAAAATCAAACACACAATTTAAAATTGTCAGAGAAAGCCATTATTATGCTGTTGTTGTTGGTAAGTTGTTGTTAAGTGCCATCGAGTCAGTTTTGACTCACAGTGACCCTGTATAGGGTTTCCAAGGAGTAACTGGTGAGTTTGAACTGTTGACCTTACAGTTCAAACTGACCTTGTGGTCCAGTGCTTACCCAGTGCCATACAAGGGCTGCCTTATTTTATGCTAAGCCTAGTTAAAAATGTAAAGTTTTTTTTTAAAAAGTCACAGCTACATCTTATAAAAGAAATAAGGCTAACAATATTCAGTCCTCCAAAACATATTTATTGAGTGCCTGTTGTTAAGTGCCTTGAGTCTGCTCCGACTCATAGCAACTTTGTATAAGGTTTCCAAGGAGTGGCTGGTGGGTTTGAACTGCCAACCTTGTGGTTTGCAGTCCAGTGTTCATCCTACAGAGCAACAGCAGGAGTCTACTGAGAGCTTACCACATGCTAAATACTATTCCAGGTGCAGGAGAAACATCAAGGAACAAGACACGTAAGTTCCTACTTCTGGGAGATTCCACTCTAGGTGGCAGAGATGGATAATGCACAGGTGAACAAGAAGTAAATGTTGTTATGTGCTATTGAGTCAGTTACAACTCATGGAGACCCTATAGGACAGAACAGAACTGCTCCATAGGTTTCCTAGATTGCAATCTTTATGGAAGCAGATCTTTTCTCCCACAGAGCCACTGTTGGGTTTGAACCACTGACCTTGGTAGTCAAGCACTCAACCATTGAGCCACTAGGGTTCCCTAAATAAATAGGGTCTTTTCTTAAAGAAAAAACAGGGTTTTGTGAGTAAGGAGACAGAAGAAGGCACTAGTGTAGCAAAAGCTCGTAGAGGAGTCCCATGTGAGCTGAGAACTTGGAAGTCATGTGTGGGGCTTGCATTCTTGGACAAGATTTTAAATGTAACCGAAGTCATCATAGGTAAGATTTCAGGCAAGTGAATGAATTAGTTTTGTTTTTGTTTTTTAAATAAGAGTTGTTTTATTGATTACATATAATGTTAGCTACATTAATATATGCTATACACTTTATGTTTACTGAGAAGAACCTAGGTTACTCAGTCATGTTGTGCCTAGTTTCCAGACCCCAGGAAGCCATCTGTACCTCCACATCAGATCCCTCTAGAGTTACCTCCATATGCACATTTCATTCTGCAGCAACAAGACTCTAACTTCATTTTCAGCAAACGCCCTCTTTGTCAGGCAGCATGACCCCATGAACAGTCACCTTACAGTAATGCCCAGTCTTTCCCCTTTATGCCCACAGGAGGCACCTCCCAGACACAGAGGCAGGAGGCAGCAAGATGCTAGTCTGCAGTTTGCATCTTGGTTTTTTTTTCACTTGAGCCTACAACCCCAATTTATAATCCCATCAAAATTAATCCCAGATTATGATACGACCCACCAAAGTCTTCTTGGGTACGTGTTCAACACAAAATTGGAAGTCATCCAGTAGTCTGAGCAACTCTTTGTCCGGCCACAGAAATCTAACAGTATGGTCGGTAAAGAAACCACTTTAGTGTTTGCAAGTTGAACAGACTGGTTTCTCCTCTCCTTCCTCCACATCTTTCAGATTGAGCACTTCTATAGTGCCTTTACCTTTCGTCTCCTTTTTGATCAGCTCGTCAATCTCTCGGAATCAGACACACAATTTCTAACTGTTGGCCACTGTCTTCACTCTCGATGACCTTGATCAAGGACTTGAGCTTTTCTTTCAGCTTTTTCCCTTCGCCACTGGCAGGACGAACCGCGGCCTCAAGTGAGCATGCTCGATCTTCATGTTCACCTTTAACTGCCTGATCACCGCCAGAGCCTGCTGCTTTGTACTCTTGTTGGTTTTGATTGAATAGTGGATGTCCTTCATGGCTCTCTCAATCAGGATGACAGTGTATGGTCTCTCTGTCTCAGGGTTCACACATTTGTCTGCTACAATGGTTGCAATGTCCGAAACATCTGCTCCAACTGTGTGTGCCTTTATCAGATACTTGAACCTCTTCTTTTGTCAAAATCTGCTTACAGATTTCAGTCTGGTTATCAGTTCCAAATGTACTGACAAGATCTTCCTTCTTTGCAAACTGACCTTTGGAGACGTTTACAAACATGGAGTGGGTCTGAAGAACTTCATCCAGGTCTTTTTCCACGTCACTTCGCCAGCCGATGACCTAGTTTTTGTAGCAGGTGATTTCGAAGCGTTTTCCAGCTCGCTGCATCCGCATCACCGCCACATTGGTCAGGCGGATCTGGTCGGTAGGGGTAAAGATCGACATGGTGGCTGTTCACAGGCCTCGGAGCAGGCAAACCGGGGCACACCTAAGCCCCGGCCTGAGGCCACCGTCGATGTGCTGTAATGACCCCCATGAACTAAGTTTTAAAAAAAGTTTCTGACTTCTGTGCAGAAGGACCACAAGGGGATAAGAGAAGAAGCAAGTAGACTAACTGGGAGGCTTCTGAGGTCTGGGGAAGAGATGACAATGGCCTCAAGTCAGATGGCAGCAATAAAGATAAAGTAGCTGGAGGGCAGAGGTATTTTGGATGGGCTACCAACAGACCTTGTTAATGGATTAAATGTGGGAGCTAAGGGCGCGATCAACGATGGTGCTTAAATTTTAAGAATTATGTAGGGAAGACAGGGGAAGAGAAGATTGAGGTGCTAGATGTCGAGGTGGGAGGAGTGGGGGTGAATCAAGAATTCCATTTGGACATGGTAAGCTTGAGACATCCATTAGATATTAGGGGCAGATGTTAAATAGGCTTCTGGATAGATCCAAACTAGAATCTATATGAGAGAAATCTGGAGATAAGCACCATCAGAAGTTAAATATAAATTCAGAGATTAACATAAGAACTAAGTGCAAAAAAAAGTGTTTGTTGTTGTTAGGTACTGTGTTACCTATTGACAAATATTAGCATCCCATGTATATTATATCAAATTTTATCTAATGCATTACAGACTGGATTAGCAAACTTTATAGGACTGCAATATCCAAGCATTGTTCCTTTTAAATTCTGCCCTTTCCTCAAGGAGTCCTGGTGTGGCACAGCAGGATAAGCATTGGACTGCTTAACTACAAGGTGGCAGTTCAAATCCACTAGCCGCTCCTCAGAAACCTTATAGACAGTTGCTATAAATTGGAACCAACTCATCAGCACTTAACAACTACAACAACCCTTTCCTCAAAATGTTATATGATAGGCATTGTTTAAAAATTTAGATAAATTAGAATTAATTCTACTTTTCTTTTAGAGTTCATTCAAATCAAAGTTAGAAACCATACCAAGTTGTAAAAATTTAAATGCAATAATTTCAACTTTTATATATAGTAATGCAATAGTTTGAATATTTTTTCTTCTTTAATCAGACTTTCATATCCACAAAAGGTTTTTATTTTATTTTGTTTTGCTTGTTATTTGATTGCTTATCAAATCATGGGTGTAGAAACTTTCATTGTTCCCTTTGAAACAAGAAAAAATCAGAACTATGAAGCGCTTACTAAACTATGATTTTGCTGCGATATCACTCAACTTATATTCTCAATATAAAGTGACATTACATTATAGTCACGAGAGACTTTATTTTTACTGCTTGTAGCAGTTGGGAATTGAATCAGATAATGCTAATTGTGACAAGGATATTCAATGGCATAGCTTATGGCTGCAATTCAGTTCATAGACAACAGGTGCTCATATTACAAATATAACCACCCAGATGGCAGCCTTGTCAGTTTTGGTAGAAACACCCAGAATCAAAAGAGAAAAGACTCAGTTACTAGTTACATTTTCCTTCAGATTCAAATTAAGACAGAGAGGAGAACAAAGGCAGGCAGGCCAGAATGCAATATCAGAACTTGTATCTTAGTGCAGTCTTTTGTTAATGTCAACACTAGGGAGAATTCAAGAGTCCTGGTGTGGTGCTGTTGGTTAATGCACTGAACTGCAAAGTTTACTTTGAACCAGGAAGTCTGAAGATCAAGTTCACCAGCTGCTCCTTGGAAACCCTATACAGGGTCACTATGGGTTGGAACCCGACTCAACCGCACTTAACAACAACAACAACAACATGGAGAATTCAAGTCTGATTAAAAACCAGGCATGTACAATTACTATAACTGAGAATATAAAATAGTACTTCCAGTTCCCAAAACTATCAACTTCACATGTTTCATTACCATAGAAACACTCTATAAAACTGGAATCAAAGTAATATTAAATCTATTAATAATTATTATATGATTTATAATTATATTAACCTATGAATAATTATTAATAGGTGGCACTGTGAGATAAAGCACTGGACTGCAAGGTCAGTTTGAACCACAAGGTCAGTGGTTCAAATTCACCAGCCGCTCCTTGTAAACTCTATATAGGGTTGCTATGACTTGGAACTGACTCAATGGCACACAGCTACAACAGTAAGCATTAATAATCATTTCAGAAACTAAACACCAGAAAATGACATATCAGGCTTTAAAAACATACCATCCCAAAATTTGATTTCTATTTTTAAAATAGCAGTTTTAGGGAAGAATAAATTCATGAAACATCTCAAACTGGTTCTTAAACAGGACTTCAAAGTAGTTTTCCAGGGTCAGTTATAGTGGACAAAGTGAAACCAGGATGGATCAGATGATGTACAATTTTGATGAACTGGAAAAAAAACCAGAACAAGTAAAATTACAGCTTGATGCTCTGCTAAAAAATTAATCTCTCTCTTAGAAAACAAGGACAGTGTGTGTGTGTTGCTTAGTAACCAAAACACTTGATCGGCAGAGTCAGAAACAGTGGTGCCCTGCTCATAGGTGACCACTAACTGCACTGCTCTTCACACAATCCAGGCAATAATCCAATCTTCTCCATCAGCCTCCTGGAAGGACTCACTATGCCTCTTTCCAGTCTCCCGTTGCTGGGCTTCCACTGTAATGTTTTCTGATTCCGTTATTATTGTTCCACTACACACAAATTTTTAAAAAAATTTCACTTTCAAAAAATTCCAGTTTCACTTCATCAACCGTGACTTAACCAGTCCTAACCAGTTAGAAGCCATGTTGTTAAAAGATCTATAGAGGAATTTTTATGATTTGTCATAAAAAAAGACAAAGCACAATGTATACTTACCTGACAAAGAAACTACAATGGGTTGTCACGCTACTTAAACGGTAAAAAACAAAACAAAACAAAAACGCTTAATTTTTTTAGAAAACCCAGTAATATCTAGAGGAAAGAAAACAGCAGGTCTATGACTAGAAGGCATATTTGTTGCCATAGCAACAGTGCTTCTATTCTCACCCACTGAATTCACATCCTGCTGACATTCATCAGAAATGTCCATTTGTGCCAAATTAATGATATGCCACAGACGTTTGGGGATACGCATTCCTGACAGAACAGGGAGCTTTTCACATTCCAAAAGGAGATAAATTCAGTCTTCACTATGTGAAGTTCTTCCTCCAGCCTAAAAGCTCAAGTCATACTAATTTTTGAAAACTGTAGTAATTCTCTACAAATGTCAGGTGACGTGAAGACCCCACTGCCAGGGCCACCCATGTATACTCACCAGTACCGCCTGGAGGATTCTCACACATTTCACAATAAGGTAATGCTGAATTATTGATATAGGTACAGAAACCACACTGCCAGCCCTTTCCAGGAAGGGATGGGGTGGCCTCAGGGGCACCTTCAGTGAGTGGAGCTTTGGTTTGCCTCCGCCAGAAGGGTTTCTCCTCGGGGGGACTGAGGCAGTCCTGGTCAGCAACCAATTTCAATCTTTTTGCTTCTGGTTCAATATCACTTTCATTTCCAATGCTATCCCTTGAAGCTAGTTTTGTAGAGCCTGATGCCTCTTCACTACTTTTCTCCTGGAGAAGTCTTGATTCAACACAGGAGGTCACCGACTGTCTTTTCTTCAGTTTTGGTAAAAAGAATGATCGGATATCATGCTGTTTTTCTTTTTCAAACTAGAAAAAGCAAACAGTCATCAAATCAAGCAGCAATCTAATACGTTTCTCCAAAATGAAACAGCTTAACAAAATATATTCATTAACCACATTCCTTTATCCTTTAAATATCCTTTTGGAAATGAATTCAATGTCATAACTCTTCAAATATATATATTTACAAAATACCATTAACATACCCATAGACTCTTTTCCTTATCACTTACTTTATGTTTAGCAAGAAGCCCCAGTGGCACTGTGGTATCAGCACTGAACTGTTAACTGCAAGGTCAGTGGTTTAAACCCACCAACCTCTCCATGGGAGAAAGATGAGGCTGCCTGCTTCCATAAAGATTTACAGTCTTAAAACCCTACAGAGGGCCACAATGAGTCAGAATCGACTTGGTGGCAATGGAATATACCAAGCACTTTACATATATCAACTAATTTAATCCTCATACCAGCTTTGTAAAGTAGTGCTGTTTCATACCCATGTTTTAGATGAAGAAACTGAAGCTTTTGAGACATTAGGTACCTTGGCTAGTACACATGACTTATAAACTATCTGCTGTGGATGCATATCTGGGACAGAAGTAGATGATATGGGCATAGACCTAGAAATAGGTCAGTGTTTTAGAATGTGCACATCAATCAAGACCCTAGAAATCAAACCACCTGTGAGAGCCAGAATGGAAGCGAACTGCCTTGTTTTTCTAGGTCTCGCAAGTTTTCCACCTTTAACAAGCTGCAGTCTTACCACTTTCTGTCACTCTCTACTAGTGGAAAATACTTGAGTTTTCCTTGTCTGACAGGTTTCTGCCTTACACAGGTTCTAGTTTTTGCAGATTTTGCTTTATAAACATTATGTACATAAAATCAAACTAAATTGACTGCTGTGAAGTTGATTTGTACTCATAGCAACCCTACAGGTCAGAGTGGAACTGCCTTATTAGGTTTCGAATCTGCAAATCTTTATGGAAGCAGACTGCCACATCTTTCTACAGTGGAGTGGCTGTGGGTTCAAACTGCAGACTTTCAGTTAGCCGACAAGCTTAAACTTAAGCACTACAATACTGTTCATTAAAGTTTTTAATTAAAATAGCTTCTTTAATTGACACATTCTTTTGTTTTGTTTTGCTTTGACTTTCTACTGCAATTTGGGTGAAAGTTTACAAAGCAAATAAGTTTTCCATTTAACAGTTTTGTTTTGTGACATTGATTCCAATCTCCACAATGTTAAAGCATTCTTCCCAATTCCTCCCTGTGCTTACCATTTCCCTTTGTCCTTCTTTCCTGTCCATTTGTGGCTTCTGAGCTTTATTCTTTTTGATTTCATTTGGTTGTCTGTTCTAAGGAGCACATGCTTATCTGGTCTCATTGTTTATCTATAAGTTATATGTTGTTGCTGTTATATGCTGTCAAATTGGTTCTGACTCAATGATCCAATATAGGGTTTCTAAGGCTGTGATTCTTTTGGGGAACAGAAACCCTCATCTACCTCCCATGGAGCTGACAATAGTGGGTTCAAACCACCGACCTTGTCGTTCACAGTCCAGAGGTTATCCTACAGAGCAACCACACTCTGCCATAAATGATACATAGGCTTGAAGGGTGACTCAGGGCCATAGTCCCAGGAACCCACCAACTGCTGTTAAGTGCTACCAGTTGGTTCTGACTCCTAGCAACACTGCCAAGGAGTGGGTGGTGAGTTTGAACCTCCGACCTTTTGGTTGAAACCTATCTCGTGGTCCAGTGCTTTATCCTACAGCAGTACACCAGGACTCCATCAGACCAATAAACCTGGTCTTTTTTTCTTTTTATGATTTTGAGTTTTGTTCCATATTTTTCTCCCGCCCTATCCAGGACTTCCTTCTGTGATCACTTTCAGAGTAGTAACAAACACATGTTAATAATTATCTTGTTTAAAAAAAAAAAAAATTCCTTTTTCTAACATAATTGTCTCAAGTCTTTCATTTACTTGTCAATGTGTAAATCTCAACCTTATAATTAGAGAAAATAGGATATCTATCACAATTGATTAGCTACCAGGTTAGGTAAATGACAGAAGTTAACTTCATAGAAGTTTTGCTGTAAGCTGAATTTGGTAGCATGTTGAACACATATTGTGTCAAATTACATTTCCAAAGGTAGCCATACAAATTTTTATCCTGTCTCACAGGCTCTTACAATGCGATATTAACTCACAAATGATGTTGTGTGACGTGAGAATAAGTTAAAAGTAACAAGACTTCTAGTTGGTCAGGTACTTTGTCCCACTTTCCCTTTCTCTCTCTTGGAATTCTTGACCTTGGAACCTAGTTACCATGCTGTGGGTTAGCCCAGACTACATGGAGAGGCCACATGTGGGTGTCCAGAGGCCAGTTGCTGGACACATGAGTGAACCAGCTTTTACATTATTCCAGCCCCAATCTTCAAGTCTGGTTGAGCAAAGATGAGTTTGTTCCTTGGTTGAATTCTTTCCCATGATAACTGTGAAGACGTGGTGAAGAAGTGGCATGACTATTCTTTTAAAGCTCTAAGTTTGGGGCAAATTGCTATGTAGCAATAGATAACTAAAATGCATTCTATAAGCTGTTGTTGCTGTTGTTAAGTGCCATTGAGTTAGTTCTGACTCATAGTTGACCCAGCATAGGATTTCCAATGCTGTGACTCTTTGCAGAAGCAGAAAGCCTCATCATCTTTCTCCCATGGAACAGCTGATAGGCTTGAACTGCTGACCTTGTGGTTCACAGTCCAATGTTTTTACTATAGAGCCACTGTGCTCTCCAATACTGTAAATAATAGTAGCAAAATACTACATAGTATCAAGAAACATTTTATACACCTGTTGCTATTGGTGTTGCTGTTGTTATGTGCCGTGGAGTCGGTTCCAACTCATAGTGACCCTGTACAAGGTTTCCGAGGCTGTAAATCTTTAAGGGAGCAGAAAGCCTCATCTTTCTCCAGTGGAACAGCTGGTAGTTTCGAACTGCTGACCTTACAGTTCACAGCCCAATTCGTAACCACTACGCTACCAGAGCTCCTTGTTTTAGGTGCCATCAAATCAGTTCCAACTCATAATAGATACTACCCAGTCCTGCACCATCCTCACAATGGTGGTTGCTTGAGTCCATTGTTGTAGCTACTGTGTACTGACACAATCCATTGCACTGATGGTCTTCTTTTTTTCCTGAATATGCAGTATCCCCTCTTCATCTATGTATAGATTCCTCATGAACTACAGATGAGAAGTAGATAATATGGATATGGAAATAGAGATCAGTGTGAAATTTTACAATACCAGACATAAAATGAAGGTCCAGAACGCTTCTAAAAAGAAGAAACAAAAACTGTCATCAGTCTTCTCTTTGGTATCATTGGTGTTGGAAGAAATAAAGGGATACCTTAAAGAATTTTAGGAGAATTGTCTGCCAAGTGAAACTACTGATTAAGAATGAGGGCAAAACCCAGTCATTTTTATTTATGCAAGGACTCACATTTACCTCTTTGGTAAAGTCAGCATGGTTCAACTAGACAGTTGATAGAATTTTTTAGTATTTGCTAGCAAATTTTACTCAACCAGAAGACTTGAAGTTTGGGGTTGGAATCATCTGAAGATTTGTTCTCTCCTATGTACAGCACTTGATGATGGATATCACATGGGACTCTGTCTGGGTCTGTCAACTGAGATACCCACATGAGGCCTCTCCATGTGGTCTGGGCTTCCATAAAACATAGTGGCTAGATTCCAAGGGCAAGAATCCAAAAGAGAAAAACAGGAACAGAGAGAGTCTTCCACTAGAGCCGGCACTCTGAATTCAGACATCTAACCTCCTAAACAGAGACAATTACTTTCTATTCATTGAAGCCACCCACTTGTGATATTTCTGTTAGAAAAGCACTAAAAAGCTAAGATACCATGAAATATGATTTTAAAAACAATACATAAAGGGGATTCTAAGGACAGGGTGAGGAAGAAAAAAGGAAATTAGTAAAGAAAGATATCAAAGAAGCTAAGAATTAAGTATTTGGAAAAAGTTCTATTCCATATTTAAAAACTACAAGAAAGGGAGTTTGCAGGCCCATGCTTTCTCTGAAGTCTCTGGAAAGAAATCTGTCTTTGCATCTTTTCGCTTCTAGTAAGTGTCTGGCATTTCTTGGCTTGTGGCAGCATAACTCCCATATCTGTGTTCTGTTACACATGATCTTTCCTCCTGAGAGTCTATCTGTGTCTCTTCTCCTTTTCTTATAAGAACACCAGTCATATTTAGTGCTCACCCTGGTGGTGCTGTAGGATCAGCACTGGACTGCAAAACACAACAGCAGTTCAAACCCACCAGCTATTCCTTGGAAACCCCATACAGAGTCGATATGAGTCGGAATCAAAATGACGGCACTTAACAACAACAACAACTACTTCATAATTTCATGTTAATGAATTACATCTGCATGGACCCTGTTTCCAAATAAGATCACATTCACAGACACCAGGTGTTAGGATTTTAATATTATTTTTGGGGGGAGGGGGGACATATTTTGATCTTATTTATGTTTGTAATATCATATCAAATCTAAAGATATGAATTAAAAGCTTAAAAAAACTTATTTTCATCAATTTTTGCATTCATTTATTGTTTTGGATCACCATATTCATGATACAGATTTTCTCCTCAAAAGATCCTTGGTCATCCCTTAATATATGATGAAGAAAGAAACAGAATGTTTGTCTGGGAATTCAGGATGCAAAGGGCCTATCACACCAAGCAGATCTGATACACATAATGATTGAATTTTAGGGGTGATTTAGGGGTGAGGAAGATGAAGGGGTCCAGAGTGATACTCAAACTCTTAAATTTCTACCTGGTGTGACACCATAGGATAAGCACTCAACTTCAAAGTTGGTCTGAACTGCAAAGTCGGCAGTTCAAACTCAACAGCTGCTCCTCAGAAACCCTACAAAGGGTTGTTATGAGTTGAAACCAACTCTACGGCACTTAACAACAACAACATTGTAGAGATGA